GTGTGTGTGTATGTCTGTGCTCGCGCACCTGCGGAGGTTTTATGTTGGGGGGGGGGATATGTGCTGTACGAAAGTATGTTTGTTTTGCCATCATCCTCATCACTGCCTTTCTCACCCTGGATCAGGGTACAATGTACATGCATAAGCGCTTTCCAACTTTTCCCTATCCTGGGCTAGCCCCTTGATATCATTTCATGTCTCCCAACTTGTCAATACGCCATTCTCTGTGACTTTTCTCCCGGTTTCATTTGGCTTTTCCCCTTACCATGAAGATTCCAATCCAACACTTTCTTTTTTATGCAGTTGCCTGATTCCATATGAGTATGTTCGATCCATCGCCATGACCGCCTTCTTCCCACTTCATCTCTGACCGGGTTCTGCCTTGTTTTTCTTAACACTTCCTCGTTGGAGACACTGTCTGTCCATCTGATCCTTAGTAACTCGTTCAAGAAAACCTGGATCCTCTTAACACAAGTCTAAGATGTTTTCCATGTCTCACATCCAAACAACACGACTGACTTATCATTTGACTTGAAAATCATCAGTTTCTTTCGGAACAAGACGTCACTGGTCCTCCCAATCCTATTCAAAGATATGATCGAAAGCTGCATGCGCCTTTCCGAATGGGATTTGGTTCCAGCACATGGTCCTCCCTGTCTGCCAATTATGCTCCTCAAGATAACAGAAGGATCCAACGTCTATCCGTGTATTTCCTTCTTGTGTGACTTGTTCTTTTCGTAGTGCACCGTCTTACTTAGGACCTCTGACTTTCTGGGGTGTTTCCTTAGCCCAACAGACTCCTATAGTACTTACAATAGTGATAAGTTTTTAAAGACTGGGTTTCGCATGCATCAGATGTCGTGGTTGTGCGACAGAAGCGAAAAGTCTGTATTGTCTCAGTCCCTTTGTCTGTGTCTTGTTCGGAGTTTCACAAGATATCATTTCATCTACAGGGTAAGGTCGTCGCACTTTAATTACAACCCCTTAACCCACTTTTTAAATCCCTACTCG